AAGGCTCCAGTGTTGAACCTCCCAAATTTAGGGAAGCCCTTTCACCTTTTTGTAAATACTGAAGATAGCATAGCACCCAAAATTGGGCAGGACAGGGAAAACCTGTAGTTTTCCTATCAAAAATCAGGGAACCAGTACTTAGAGGATGACCCATTTGCATACAGGCAATAGCGGCTACCGCTCTCTTGGTGCAAGAGAGTAGGAAATTGACCTTTGGGGGAGCACTTATAGTCAGCACCCCACACCAGGTAAGGACCATCCTTCAGCAAAAAGCTGGGAGATGGCTTACCGATTCCAGAATTTTACAATCTGAGACAATATTGATGCAGCAGACTGATTTGGTACTAACTATTGATCATAACTTGAATCCTGCCCAATTTTTGGCAAACCTTAGGCAGATAGATCAGAAAGGGTTAGAACATTACTGTACTGAAGTGATTGACTTGCAAACAAAAGAACGATTTATTTATTGGAACAATTTATAGGGATTCTAAATATGCCTTTGGTATGGTCCATACATTTGGGAAAATTTGGATTGAAAGGGTTATGATTAATAGTAAGGGCAAGGAGTTAGCCCATGAGGGGCTGATAAAACAAATAATGGAATCACTGCAATTGCCCAAGAGAATTGCAGTGACGCATGTAAATGCACATCAAAAACGGAGTTCTTTTGAGATAATTGGAAATAGAATAGCAGATGAGGAAGCTAAAAAAGTATCAGATGTTGGAAGCATGAATGTGTGTGTGTACCAACTGTGGAACAAATAGAGGAGATCCCTGTATTATCAGAGAAAGAGGAAAAGGAGTTGATCCAATTAGGGGGACAGTAGGGAGAGAAAGGAAAATGGTTTCTTCCAAATGGAAGGCAAGTAATCAGTAAGACTCTAGCTAGAGGTTTGCTGGAAAGATTGCATGAGAGAAGTCATTGAGGAATACAGGCATTAGCAGATGAAGTATTGAAGCATTATGGATGCATAGGAATTTATAAATTAGCTAAGCAAATCATTGCAAACTAGAGATAATGTGCTGAGACAATATGTGCATTAACTGTCCAGACATTTTTATGTTCTTAGGAAACAAGGATTGTTGGCAGAAACACCTCTGTTGGAGTTTCCAGTCCACAAATTCCAAATTGGTGACTGGGTGCTGATCTGAAGCTGGAAAGAGGAGAATCTTACACCCAAGTGGGAAGGACCTTTCCAGGTGCTGCTGAAGTCCAAAACAGTTGTCCGAACAGCAGAGAAAAGCTGGACCCACTATACCAGAGTGAAAGGACCACTGGAGGCCCTGATAGAGTGGAAAAGCATTCCTCAAGCAGACCCACTGAACCCTAAAAAGAAAATAAATAAGTTCAGTTCAGTTCCTTTATTTGTATGCCGCCCTTTTCCCTGAGGGGACTCAGGGCNGCACACAGCCCCCCCACCCCCCTTGAGCTCCCTTAGCGCTGGCAGAGGCACCGCAGGCTGGTCCTTCGTTGTCTCCCAGGCGGCCCCGCGTGCCAGATCTAAGCACCCCATGGGCCGCATCCAGCCCCCGTGTCTTGAGTTTGACACCCCTGCTTAGTGTCCACGTGGGCATCACCTTGGCATCGGCCACAGCCCTCAAGAGCATCAAACGAGCTACGTCTTCAATTAGAATCATAGGATTCCGGGGCTGGGGGGGACCTTGGCGGCTGTCTAGCCCAACCCCTTGCCCAATTTAAGAATCCTCATACCATCCTAGACAGGAATGGGTTGCTCCCAGCATTACTGCCAATTTGGTGCATGCGCATGGGTGCACATTTGCACAAAAATGGGTCTGCGTGTGTGTAAATGTTAAAAAAAAGGGGGGGAAAATAAATTTGTACAATTACAAGATGGCGGCCCCATAGGAGAACCAGTTCAGGGGCGTGGCAGGACTGGGTCACTTCCAGTTTGCTCGTAGGGTCGTTTTTTGCCCTCCGGAGCCTTCAGGGAAGCCTCCTGAAGGCCACTGAAGACTCCGGAGGGCTAAAGCCAGCCCTACGAGCAAACCAGAAGTCCGTTCCCGAACTTCCGGTTTGCCTGTAGAGCCGGGTTTTTTTTGCGCTCCGGAGGCTTCAGGGAAGCTCCTGAAGCCTCCGGAGAGCCTCCGGGAGGGGAAGCTGTTTTTACCCTCCCCAAGCTCCTATAAAGCCTCTGGAGCCTGGGGAGGGTGAATAAAGCACGCCAAAAATGGGGGGGAGCGCTGGTCGTGCGCGCTGGAGTTGTGCGCATAGCATTATGGGTGTGGCACGTTCTCGCACAACACCCCCCCCCGTGCTCCCCCTGCTTTTGGCACGCGAGCCAAAAAAGGTTTGCCATCACTGTCTTATACCGTCCTGGACAAATGGCTGTTTAATCTCTCCTTAGAAAACCAAATGTGTGCATTTTAGCATTTGTTCATTCCGTGGTTCAGGAAACACTTGAGTTGGGAGGCCTGGAAGGGACCTTGGAGGTCTTCTAGTCCACCCCCCCTGCCCAAGGCAGGGATCCTCATGCCACACTAGACCAATGGCTGTCCAATCTCTTCTTAGTAAACTGAACGTGTGCGAGTTAGCATTTGTTCATTCCGTGGTTCAGAAGACTCCTGATGATAGGGCGGGGAAGGGACCTTGGAGGTCTTCTAGTCCAACCCCCTGCTCAAGGCAGGAGACCGTAAACCATTACGGATAGATGGCTGCCCAATCTTTTCTTGAAGATCTCCAGCGATGGGACACCCACAACTCCGGGAGGGAGGCTGTTCCATTGCTTCATTGCTCTCGCTGTTAGGTGAGTCCCAGGTAGGACTTCTCTTTGAGGAACCTCTACCCATAAGTGGTGGGGAGAAGCCATGGCAGCATCTGCAGCTGGTGCCTAGAAGGGAAGATGCCCAAAGCTCTCCACTCTCGCCAGGCTAACCTTTGGCTGATGCCCAGATGACGACTTTGTTGTTGCATTTTTCCCCTTTATCAGTGTATCTCTTTCTGCTCGTCGCTAGATGGCTCTTTCCAAACCACAAATACAACCCAACAGCTGATTGTCAATACATGCCAAAAATGCATGAAATCCACAAAAAATCAAATAAAATAAGGAGAAAAAGGACTTCCCCTTGGGCTCTTCCTTTGGTTAATTAATTTCTTCACTTCCAACCTGCAGAAGACATAAATCCTCGGAGGCTACGGCGTTTTAACCTCCGCTGCCTCTTTTTTTCCCTTCAATAAAATTCCCCGAAAGCCAGTTAGTCACTAATTCCGCTCCGGGACCCTTTAAGATCAAAATCAATGTTTCTTTTTCTCTGTGAGTTGGTCTCGCCCAGTTTCCGCACGCCGCTCCAGCACAAATAGCTTAGTCTGGATGCCCCAGCTTTGTGGTCATTTAATTATGGCTGCCACCCCCCGCTACTGGTTTGAAGGGCTTTTCTCCGACCTATCGAGGAACTGCTGGTTCCTTTTGGTCGTCCGAGATGTCCCTTCCTCTCCCTCCAGGACAGGTTTCGGTCCGAAGACCTCCCGACAGCGGTTTGTCCGGCTGGATTTCCACGTGGCTCAGCAGAGCCCGCTATTTTCCAGCTGGTCTTGCCGCAACGCTTCCGGCTTCTCCTCCCAGATGATGACTTTGGACAAGAGAACTTACCTCCCAACACCTCATCCAACGACTTGTTCTAGACTTCCCTTCACAAATCACCTTCGGCAGGTAGGTGAAGCTTGTCCTGGATCCTCCACAGAGGGAAGAAACGTTGGGGAAAGCCTCCTTAGCTTAGTCCGTTCATCTTAGATAGCTCTTCTTGGTCAACCTTCGGTAGGGATGGAAATAAGAGAGGGAATCTAATGCTTTGCTGGAGGAGTGGTGCGGTGGCCCGGAGGTGGCGCTCTCGCCTCACAATCAGGGGGCAGTGAATTCGAACCTAGGTAGAGGCAGAGATTTCTGAGAATATATCTGCGGAATATAACTCCGCATTGGCGACAGGGATGGGCATCCGGCCAGTAAACCCTTTCCTAGCTCCATTCAGTTGCCCAGACTCCACCCCCTTGCAAGGGATGATGGAGTGGTTAAACCAAGATGATAGAATAGCTTTGCTGGCATTTCATCTCATGGAAGTTTCCACTTGCGCAGATCACGTGCCAGGAAGCATAACTTGAATAGAACCCTCGTCACGGAAGGGTTGAAGGGAACTCTGGAGGTCATGTAGCCCAGTCTCCTGCAGGGATCTCTTCCTGCAGCTTCTCCAATGACGACCTTCTCCTGAGTCGTCACCAGCTCATCATCCCCACACACACACACACCCCAGCCTAAACTTTCCTTGCCACGTAGAGAGGCGGTTGGGTCTTAGTGGCCAAGGCGTCGGGCTAGAAACCAGGAGACCAGGAATTCTAGTCCCGCCTTGGACTAGATGCCTAAGGAGGAACTATAGGATCAGAGTGGCAGGTCTGAGATCCCACCGCGATGCGGCCTCTGCTTTCCGAGGCAATTTTGGACAGCTGGTCCCAGAAGATCTCTCGTTTGCGCCGGGCCACCAGGTAGGCAGGTAAGTTCCCAGCCTTGTTAATACTTTGCAAAGAGAAAATTTCCGCTTCGGGCCGCTTCTCTCTGTTTGTGGCGATGCGGATCTATTATGCCAGGGGTCCCCAACTCCTCCGTCCGTGGACCCGCACAGGGCTGTGGGATGCCGGCAACCGGGCCACGCAAACAAGCAAGACCCTCTCCACGGGATGCAGGCAGCACGCAAAACTACGTCCCGTCCGGTTCGACGGAAAAATCCTTTCTCCGCAGAACCGGCTCCTGGTGCCTGAAAGATTGGCGGGGGTGGGGGCACACAAATCCAACTAAGGCCAGTTGAACTCTTGTCACGGTTATAGACTTCCGCTGTAGCTGTTTTGCTACCTGTATTGGATGTGGTCACAGGTAGTCCTTGAGTTATGACAGTCCGTTCAAAGTTATAACAGCGCTGAAAAAAGGGACTTATGACTGTTTTTTTTTTAAACTTATGACCATTACAGCATCCCCCGAGGACACGTGATCAAAATCCGGGCGCTCGGCAACTGACTCATAGTTATGACCGTTGCCGTGTCCCTGGAAGGGGGTGTGTGCCATGCGACCCCCCCCCTTTTCCCGACCTCCCGACAAGCCAGATTCGCTGAACAATAACCGGGCTTAACTAACTAAGCCGCTTCGGCGATTCGCTTTGCAACTGCCGCAAGGGAAGTCGTAAAACGGGGGCAGCGCGCTCGCTCTCTTGACCCACATCCCACTTAGCGGCAGGAATTTCGGGCTGCATAGTGGTCGTAAGCCGAGGACTAGCGGTGCCGATGTAACAATTTTCAGCGCTTCATTTAACAGCCGTGGCAAGAAAGGCCGTCAAAACCCATGTTCCGCTTAGCAACCTAAATGTTGGGCACAATTGCAAGTCGTAAGTCAAGGACGAGCTGCAATTTAATGTCCCCTTCTTGATTTGATTTTGTGGCTCTCCTCCCAGAACCCACCTGGGTTGTCCTGGGCTAGTTTATACCACAAAGTGGACAAGAGAGTTGCCTGTTTGTTAACGTTGTTGAGCTATTCTCTTCTGTGGCAACGTTCGTTCTAGCCAGAGCCACGTTCCCCGTGGAAAAACACATTTGGGCGCATAAAATAGCCCGATTACAAGTCAAGGACTACCTATGCAGTAAATCTTGGGGTGGGGAATCCTCTATAAACTATAGCACTGGGAAGGGAGGGAAGGAAGGAAGGAGTAGAGAAGAGGGATAGAAGAGCGGGAGGGAGGAATGGAAGAGGGAGGGAGAAAGAAAAGGAAGAAATAGAGGAAGGATAGAGGAGAGGAAGGGAGCAATAGAGAAGAGAGATAAGGAGAGGAAGGGGGGAATAGAAGAGGGAGGGAGGGAGGAAGGGATAGAGATGAGGGATAGAAGAGAGGGAGGGAGGAATGGAAGAGGGAGGGAGGAAGAAAAGGAAGGAAGGAATAGAGGAAGGATAGAGGAGAGGAAGGGAGCAATAGAGAGGAGGGATAAGGAGAGGAAAGAGGGAATAGAAGAGGGAGGAAGGAAGCAATAGAAAGGAGGGATAGAGGAGAGGAAGGGGGAAATAGAAGAGGAAGGAAGGAAAGAGAAAGAAAGAAGAAAGAAAGAAAGAAAGAAAGAAAGAAAGAAAGAAAGAAAGAAAGAAAGAAAGAAAGAAAG